CATTAAATGGAATAACTTACATTCTATTGCTTATGATAAAAATGGGCTCTAATGCCAATGTAAAAATTAGATCAGAGTTGTCCAGGTCTGAATACTTTTGGCTTGAACTAAAATGTATCAGTAATCGCCTACTTTTCAATTCATTTGTGTTTTATTGTAGTGCATGATATTGAGACTCAAGAATGACACTTAAATCGTTAAAAGTTTTTGACCTGTGTCATTATGCTTAAAATTTTCTGTTATTATAAGATACTATTCATAATATTATTCATAATACATTTAACTATAAAAAAACATGAATTTTATGTATACATATTTATGTATACATATACTGTAATATTAGTAACAGAATAAATAAATCTAACTATTATAGATTTACATATTAAGATATTTATATCATATTATTCATTTTTCATTCATTTCTGTTTCTCAAGGACTGCACTACATTGGGCATGTAAAGAGGGATACTTAGATATCGCTGTCTTACTCTTGAAAAATGGTGCCGATAAAAATATAAGATCTGAGATAGGCGAAACACCAGCATCTGTCTGCAGCAATCAACAAATTTTATATCTTCTGAGCACAAACGATGACATCGAGCGAATCATGTATGATACAGCATTACGTTCAGCTCCATCCGCGTATGCTCCACCAGATTTTTTGCGCGCTACTGCAAATTCTTCAAAAGGCAGAAATAACATATATGACAAAAACAGACTCATCTCAGCATTTCAAGATGGTTCGATATAAATTGATACATTTTCTTTAGTAACTTGATATTCTAAATTTAGCCAGAAAAATATAGTTGTTATATTTATATTGATTCAGTTTAAATAAATTGAAAATTGTTTTTAAAGACACTATATATAGTTTATTATATACTATAGCTGCTGTAGTATATGTATACATATATATATATATAAAATTATATTTTAATATATTTTTAGAATTGGTACTGAAAATCCGAATTGCCAATACAGCGGATTCAGATTTCATAGAGGTAGAATTACCACGAAGCGAGTTAACATATCAGGCTCTATTGTGTCTGTGTTGCAAGGAGCTAGATGTCAATTCGCATCAAATCCAGAAATTACGAAAGTTGCCCAATACTAGACTGAGGAGAGACAAAGATATTCAGAGACTTCAAAACTTTCAAGAGATCGAAGTGGTCATAGATGCGACAAAGGGCTTGCAAAATTCCAACAGTGTCGCCAACAGTTTGCCAACATTACCCGCTAATGGATATCAAAGTATATCTAAGAAGGATCAGACTATTTTGTATTGATTATTAGTATTAGGAAGGAATGTTCCTCACAATTTCAAGTATTTGCACATAATCTAATATATCAATAAAAAAGAAATTATTTGTTAAGCAATAAACTGCCTTTATTAACTAAATAATGATATCCAAGAGATAATATTCTCTACCATAATTAATGTAATATTTAATTCTTTGAGGAGCTTTTTAATAAAATAATTTACAGAAAATCTTTTCTAAAAGTTTTTGGAAAGTCACTTGAAATTTGATTCTAATCTCAGAATTTTAACTAAAGTAAAATTAAACGAAAAATAAAAATAGCATAAAAACAGTTTCTATTCATGAAATTTAAAAAGGAGTTATATTAATAATTTCTAAAGTGTTACATGTTTATCTAATTATTGTCTTAGATACAATAATTGAACTAGAGATGATAAAAATATTTGTGATATTTAATGTTGATTATATAAATTAATATTAAACTTAAATAACATATATAATATTATGTATTTAGAAAATTTTTCTGATTACCATTTCTTACTTTTTTACAATATTTTTTAAAATACAAAGTACTAACAGATTTTCTATTTTATTGAAATTTTCGTTCAATTTTCAACTTTTTTCTTTGTGATTTTTTTACTTGATTCATTCTTTTTGATCTGTTCCTTTTTGAGGATTACTGTGCCTTCAGGTTTAACTGTGACTGTAGTATTACTTATAAATGTTGAAAGCTCTCCTTCTACATCGCAGTAAGCTTTAGGTCTCTTTGGCTGCACTGCAATTGTACTTGGATCAACAGTGTTTTTATTCTCTGAAATTCATAAATTTATTTAAAGAAACAATCTATCTATGTTGTCAATAAATTAAATCTATATTTCAACTTACTTAATGTCATATAAAAAGGCAATGCTAGGCTGTTTGTGCCTTTCAATCGAAGCGCTCGTATGTTTGTCCAACCACCAGGATAGTTTTTAGACAATTCTTCACAAACGGCTAATACATTTTTCAAAACTCTTTTCTTTTTCATACATGTATTCCCTACTTGCATCAAATGAGTATCACCATGGGAATGAAGCTGCATACTGGTTTTTCTCAATGCATGATCAACCTCATGCTTTAAGTCCTTGCTTTCCATTCTGACTGAAGTTGGTAACTTTCGTCTTTTGGAAAAGATTTTTCCCAATAAATGACACATATGGCCAGCAATACGACCATCAACAAGAAAGTGATCATAACTGGATAAAAGCTTTTTCTTCAATTCAAATTGATCGAATTCGGTTTTCACACGATTTATAGGTATTATCTCATTCACACGAGTGCATCCATGCTTGCCTAATAAATTTTTATAATGTTCCACCGTTGGTTCATAATCTTTTCTTCTTCCTTTCTCTAAATCGCAAACAAATAAAGCTACTTCATCATTCGGAGCCACTATTGAATATGGCAACAATCTATAAAGAGAAATATAAATTTTAATTAAAAATTTAACAGAAACACAACAATTTTTATTATGCATAAGGTATCATCATTACAAGATTTATAATCAGAAAATCTCATAAGGATCCATTGGCAATTACAATATATAATCATGTGAAGTTTTAATAAAAAGAAAATGAAATCTTTTAAGATCCATAAATTCACTTACATTCTCATTTGTCTACGAGGCATCTCTGGTACTCTGACGCTAGTCACTTGTATAAATATCGGCCGAGCCTCCTCAGCGAGAAGATTGTTCGTCTCTTTTAACTGTTCTTGAGTCATATGAAAAATCGCAGAAATGCATTCTAAAATTTGTTTTTTCGATAGATCCTTCAAATTAAATTCCTTTGATGACTCAATCGTCTCTGTTTCAGAATTCATTCGTTTCCGCTTTCGCGTTTTCACTTGCGAATTTGAATTCTCTCGTTTCATTTTCTGTGTATTGTCTATACTTAAATGATTATCTGCTCTGTGCACTTGACGCAATATTTCTGTTTTATCCTTCTTATGTTTGATTGCGATCATGTAGTAACAAACGCAGTCGTTAGCATATCAATACTGTCGTGCTCAACATTACTGCATTATTTAATTATTATGATAATTAGACAAGAATCCATTTATTCAATTATGTTGAGAAAAAAATAGTCTTAATAAATATTTAAAAAAGTAAAATATCTCATTACCAGTTATATACATACAAATCAATGAAAAGCACGTGGTCCAACAGCTTCGCCTAGTCCAGCCATGATGTTAGCCGTGCAGAAAGTGATTAGTGAACAATGAGCCAATACAGCCTTGGGCTGTATTTCAAAATTCATTACCAGCGCTAAAAAACTACAATTTATGTTAAATTCATTCTACATTACGCGCAAGCCAATCTCAAGTTGCGACAGCCGATCTGAAGACCAATCACAACTCTACAGTCGTTACTTTGCTTTCTTTTCTGCAATTGTAATTGGTCTCAACTGTTCTGTTCCGTAAATTTCATGAGACGGCGGCCTAAATTAATAAGCGTCACTCAGATGCGTTGGATTTGAACAATAGGTCTATCGCGTAGCTAATACTTTTTCCACCCTTCGCTTTATCTTTTTTCGAAGTCAAATATATATCTATCTCATTTTAAGTGCAAAAATATTGAAGATTTCATGTAACGCGAACAGACCTAACGGCTGCATTCAGCGGACTCATCAGTTGAGTAAGCATTCGCTGCTATTGGATGCATTCAGTGAACGCTCATTAAGCTCTTGCATCTAATTAGCATATTCTGTTAGAACTAAAAATATAGACCAAACAGAGACAAGAGCTCACTGAGAGCTTAGGAGCGGACATAGTATTGAATGCTCATTGTATTCTTCTAGATCTAAAATGCTGATTGGATGATCTAAAAGAATATACCAATAACAGCGAGCGCAGCCAATGGTCGCGTTCAACAGACTCAGGGTCTGAGCATAAGAATTGTCATAACATTTACTTAGGCTGCGTTCCAAAACTTTCTCTCTGAGGAAAATTTTACTCGAAATATATAGTACACGTAATGTATACAGTAAATATACAGTATAATCTTTCTCGGAGAAGAAGTTCTAAAGATTAAAAAAAGAGAAAGATAAGTTGAATCAAGATTAAGTCCGGATCTACATTAGATGTTTTAAGCTTTAAACCGTAAGAAAATAACCAATTATAGTTGAATATGAGGAGAATAATTGATTGTGATTCGTTCATTCCTTAAGGCTGTGATCAAAGTCTCGCTACAAATGCTTTGAAGCATATGATGGACTAATTAGAAAAAAGAATTTTACAAACTGACCAATTAAAAAAAGCGTTTCAAAGCGTTTGCAGCATCGCGTTGACCCTATGATTTAAAGTTTAAAAATGTATTGTAGATCCGGACTAAAGTTAATCTACATTGGTGGAAATGGGCAGTAATGCTATAAATGCTTCAAAGCATTTTTTGATTGGTTAATTAAAATTCTTTCTTCCTTGGTCAATCAAACGCTTCGAAGCATTTATAGAGTCAAGTGGACCGCACTCCCCTCCCCCGCCCTCCCCATCAACCGATTAACGTCAATCGTGATTGATCAATTCTGTTGAACAACATATGCGATTGGTCAGTTCCAAGAAAAAACCAATTAGTCGCTGGCGCTCTTGGCGTTTCTGCGTTGAAAATGAGATATGAAAGCAGTCCATGATGCGCTGCGCATGCGTCAAATTTTATTCGAATTGGCGTTTTTTTTAATATCGAAAGAAATTATAACCTATAATCCCAATGAAGGTCGATGAATCAGGAAGTAATAGAAATCTATCCTGGTATATACTTTTTATTTTTATAAGATATCTTTTTGTATTTCAGTGAATTGATTAAGTTTCTGTATTTTCTATTTTTTATATAACTTTAAGTTTATTATCCAAATTGTAATCTATAAAAAATTTCTTCTAACGGTCTCAAAGAATAGAAATGTCAGTATTAAACCGGTTGGTAAAGCAAATAATAATTGTATCACAAATAATAATTATTTTCTACTTAAAGGTTCGAGAGAGGACAGGTACTCAAAATGATTTCATTCAAATGGATAATTATCTACGGTTCGTTAGCACCATTTTTTATTATGATTACTCTGCTATACGTTCTCGGGGTTGCGAGATATGTCACCGACTTTGAGGAGAATACTTGTGAAATGACGTATATGTTTGAGTACCCGCAATATGTGGTACGTGGACTTGTAAATCATACAGGAGACTACAATACTTTTTAACTTTATACTAGTTTTTATGAACTATTGGAGAGCCTGATATAAGAATAGAGATTATACTTTAATCTGTTTTAATGCGTTTATCTAGAACTTTTAAGTTTGTTTTTTTTATTATTGTACTAGATTGAACTAAAACTTTCCTCTTTGTCAAATTTTGAATATATACCTATTTAAAAAGTATATATTGATTTGATTGTAAAAAACAGACCTCTAATCTATTAAATGATATTAAGTTTGCTTTTTTCAATTTTATTTTTCCATCAGAATATAAAGAAATAATAACGAGTTTTTTATTTATTAAATGTAAAAACAAAGAATATTTTTAGTGGAATGCTAAATATGTAATAAATTTTTTTGTGAATTTTTAAATAATATATTTTAGAAAATATCCTTTAAAAATGATATTGAAGCGAAATATCCGCGGTTTGGATTGTATGCTTATGGAGAAGGCATTCTAACCGAAAAATTGAGAAGAATGCATTTTTCTGGTATACCAGTTCTTTTCATACCAGGCAATGCTGGATCTCATGAGCAAGGTTTGTATTACTTTAATAATATATTGGCGACTTAGTTTGATGACAGATTTTTATTATTTCAAAACAGATATTCAAAAGTCTATTTACTTATTTTTTTTTTTTTTATTTTAGTACGATCTATTGCTTCAGTAAGTTTAAGAAAAAGCCGCACAGCTTCCTTCCATTTTGATTTTTTTACTGTTTCATTCAGTAAGGATTATTCTGCATTGTATGGAGGTATGACAGAAAAATATTTAAAAAATTATTAATATATTGATATTTTTGTATATAATATCAACTGTTGTTGTAATTTTATTAATGCTAGGGGTGCTTATGGAACAAACAGAGTATGTCTCACATTGTATAAAGACAATACTAGCGTTGTATAAGGGAAAAATAGACAATATTGTATTAATTGGTCATTCTATGGTAAGAAACACAGATATGTGCTATAAAGAATGATTTAAATTTACTGGCATTGCTTTCAGGGTGGTATTGTAGCAAAAGGAGCTCTGTTACTAATGCCAAATATGAATGCATCATTAGCAAATATGATAATAAATTTGGCTACTCCTCATACTCCCTTCTTAGTTTTTGATAGTACTTTTGCAAATTATTATTATGAATTGGAAAGACATTTGCATAAACTTAAGGATGCAGGAGTAAAGGTAGTGTCAATTGGAGGTGGACCACGTGATATACTTGTACCTTCTATCGCAGCTTTCGATCGTACGGCGGATATAAATGTTCTTTCCACGAGTGTACCATGTGTTTGGAAATCCACGGATCATTTAAGTATTCTATGGTGTAAACAATTAGTATTTGTAATTGTGCGGTCGCTGTTTGATTCTGTGAATCAGTTGGAAAAACCGCCTAAAATTACATCAAATCCTGATTTAAAAATGAAGTCCTTATCTTATCATTTCTTAAAAGTAAGTAATTATTATAGATGCTAAAAGATTTAATCAACTCAGATACTTATATAATACTTCAGTTACTTATATATAATATCGCACAAAAAGATATTTAATAATTATAAATTTTGGAATTGCTAAAATAAATTAATGAATTTTAATGTCTAAAATTTCAGCATACTTCTGGCAAAAAAATGTATCATTATCCAGACAAAGTTCGATTTGAAACTGACGCTGAATGGGTGAGTGTACCTCAACAGTATGTCTGGAATAATAATGGAATTAAAAGATCATCCGTTATATATCTTGCGGTGGAACTATTTCATAAATCTGACTTCTTAACCATCGATGCAATAAATTTACAAAGCAAGGATTGGCTGTTTGTATGCTCAGCATTAAAAAAACAAGAACAAAAAAGAATTTGGTAACATTGAATTATATACTTCTATTATACTTCTATTATGAAAGAAATTATTATTTATCAATAAGTTTTATAATATATGTATTTTTCAGTGAATGGGGTTGGAGTTTGACAAATAAAACAAGAATTTTACCCGATCCTTTATATCGATCGAGAAGGATTGTTGATTTAAATCTAAAAGAGATAAAATATCCACACATTACTCATGCCATTGTGAAATTAACTCCCGATGATTTAGAGAAACAACTTACAGTCAATTTTGATTCCTATTTTTACAATAATCGAATGGAATCTACAAGAAATAGATTCTTACATCCTAAATATCTTTTTGGTTTCCGTGGACCCAATTTAATTGAGACTGTCAAGGGAAGTATAAGATATTATATAACACTTCCCAACATCATAGACGCAATTACAATCGAGTTCAAATCACTGAATTGTATTAAGCATCATGCTATTGTCGAGTTAATAGAATCATCGAATATAGGATCGACTCAGGTGGAAATCTTCACGAATACGTAAGTGTATTTCATAATAATTCGAGCTTCGTATTAGCTATTTTTACATATATTTAATTATAATAATGCAGGGACGATGGTCCGAAAACGATGAAAATGCAGACTCTTTATGGACGTTCCAATGATACAGCAAGTTTAAGAGTGACATTAGAACCAGAATGCATTTATATGATTAATATTCAACCTGGAGGAATCATCGATAAAATTTCGTGTAGAGTACGGGATCGGTGGCCATTGCTTTATACGGCCATTATCAGTTTGCTTCTTCTTATCATTTCTTTAAGGATACATTACAATTCAGATGTGCTACCGACAATAATCATTACCATAATATTATCCTTTGTCTTCAACGTTACTTACGAAACTTGCATCGCTTTATGTATTATTGGTATATCTGCCGTCGGTGTATGTTTCTCTGTTATATTTCTTGGTTCTGTTGCACATGGAATAGCTGTCAGGTATAGTTCTTTTATTTATACTAAAATAAAAATATTCTCTTGTATTTAATTGCATATTGAAAAAATGATTAAATTGATGGATTAAAATATTTTTGTAAGTCATATTCTTTGTAGGTTCTTAGCACGTGCAATAGCATTCTCAGTAACATGGTCCGACTGGTTATTGAGTGGTTTAAATCAGCTGCCATATATTACAACTTTTTTCGTACAATCTTTAATTCCAATAACATGCGCAGCTCTTAGTATGCTCATTTCAGTATTTCTTCACTTTTTAAAATTAACAAGGATGTATGAAGATTATTTAGAAGACATATTATTGGCCCCACTCCAACATTTCAATTTATTTAAACGTTGGAAGAATGCAAAAAATGAAGAAGAAAATGATCAGTTAAATACTAGTCAAAAAAATATCGGTCAAGAGATATACAATCGTCTTCTCCTATTTCTATTATATAGTTTTGCTGCAATCCCAGCAATTCCATCTGTCTTAGTTTGGGCAAAAAATTTCAGGTACATATTAAAATTGTCTCGATTTAAAACTTCCGTTTTCTTATTATAATATCAAATTGTGATAGAAGCGAAAAGTATAATCAATTAATTATACTTTAATGTAAGATACTATAATGAGAAAAAAAGGGCCCTTAAAATCGAAATTAAGTTTCATAAAAATTAGTTAACGAAAATAGACATACTTATTACAGCTACGATATGAGACTCTCCACAGAAGATCCTGTCCATGTAGTAAGTTGGATAATATTGGCTGGGTGCAGTACATTAGGTATCGTACAGATTTCTCCTAAGCACAAAGGATACCGCTCGCTTATATTAAGTAATATATTACGTTTCACGAGTTGGGTTATTCTTTCTATGACTGCAGCTCCGCGTCCATCCTTTTACCAGTGGTGTATGCCACCCATTATTGCCACAGTAGTAACGCTCATCGCACTAAATTCTATGATTCCTTAAGAAAATTAAATTCAATACTAATTAAAATACTAATTGACAAAAATTATATTAATAAGTTTACAATAATAGAAATATGTTTACATACAGTTTTTCTTACTGTTTATCATTAATTTTGTAAATTTTTCTGGTTGTGGCAATACTATTAAAATTTATGTCACACGTTTCTAATATTATTACAAATTAAATGGTAACTACATGTTGGAACATATAAGTATTATCAGGAGACATAGTAATGTCTCGGCGCTAAGACAAGCGCAGCGATAGTACATTACCGCGTACTTTATGCGAGACCACGAATTGCGGGAATTTTATATAACAGTAATCAAAAAAGTATAATATAAATATAATCATATAAGTAGTCTAGTGTAATCTTATAAAGCAAATAAGCTGGAACTTATTTTAAGATTGTTTAGCATAGTGTATCAATAATAATTGTGAGAAAAAATATTTATAACTGTAATGCAAAAACTTAGATCTTATGTAACTTATTGTGATATATGTGATATAATATAAAATAAGTCTTCTTA